GGTTAATGCTCTATGGGGGGTCTACGACTTTTCTACTTATACTTTTAGAATAAGTACATCAACAATGAGTGTTAACAAGGGATATATAGATACTTAAAGTTTTACAACTTTAAAACTGTTATAACTCGTTATATCATTAACCTCATAAAATACGAAGTTGTATGACAAGAATAAAAAATACCTTTTATTTGACTTAATTGCGATAATAATCACTTAAGGCAAGCAAAACGCTTGTTAATTTTTAAACCGTCTCAATAAAATTGTCTCTTTTTATAACAGAAATATGAAGTAAAGATGGATCTAATAGAAAGGTGCGATCGTTCATTACGTGAGTGGGGAGACAGTTTACCAAATGAGATCTCATTGATTTCCCTACTTTAATCATTGCGGTAGTTTTGCAATACAAAATTAACTTTACACTTCACAATAACCATTTCAGACCTTGATGCAAAACACGTTAGGGTCCAAAATAGAGCTCGAGTTTCGTCTATCGACGGCAAAGTAAGTGCCTCTTTTGAGCCATTGAGCTGTATTATCGGATATCGCAGTCATGCATCATATTTGTCGAGTGTTTCGTCATCGGGCGATCGGATCAATTCCATCGCAACATTAAAACGACTGCGAATTACACCTGGCATTGCTTATAAGTACTCAATAGCACGAGACAATATTTATTCAGTGAATTGCCATAATAATACAACTTTGTTGTTAATGATCGATAAAAAATACCGTTGTGTTGTATATTGCTCTTGTTATCTGTACAAGTTTTAGTGTCATAAAAAAGAAACTTGTTTCGAAGACCTCCTTGTTAATGGTATGATGTTTATAAGTCAATAATTATAATACGTAACTAATAAAAGTAACTATAATAAGTAAATAAATACACAAAAGTAAAAAGAGAATCATAAAAACCACCTGATGTTAGCGGGGCTTTAGTAGAGCTCCTTGGAAAGAGTTCCTCCAGGGTAGTACCGCCACCTTACCTATTACTGCCGCCAAGCAGTAATGTCAGTATTACTGTGTTCCGGTTTTGAAGAGTAAGGGTGCTGGTGAAATTACAGGCACATGGGACTTGTCAACTTATGTCCCAGGGCGACGGGCGCAGTGGAAGTGCCTCTCAGATCTTAGCAATATAAAGCTCTGAGTGATACTGTAATTATTATGTCCCGTCACTTGATGTTAAAAAAAGGGGGTATGTAAAGAGCCTTCATGCACGACGTACCTTTCCTTCTCTGTACGTTTGGCACACCTACAATCAAAGGTCTACAATCAGTCAGTAGACACCTTACGCCGACTGGCAAATCCTGCTGCAAAATTTTCTCCTGAACGCTAAGACTAGAACCAATTCAGTAAACTTAATTTTTCAAATTGATCCTACCTCCTCAACCTACGGGCAGTGCAAGGCGTTGGGCAACCGATACCGTCAAATATATGTTTAAAGTACGAGAAATACTATTTATTAGTTAGTACTTCACTTTCATAATTTAAGTACACACTTACCTGTATACGTTTTATCTACTTACTGAGTTATTTGAAACGCTCTGGAAATAATGAAAGATTAAAGCGCAAATATATAATCTGGCACATTTGTTATTCTATGGCGGCAGCAGGACTACATTTCACCAAAGGAATATTTTAGGATTTCGTGTGAAATGTGAAAGTGTGTTTATGAGTAATTGCATTACGTGCAATAAAATTCTTCGGTTTTATTTAAAGTCAGTGTACGTAATTCTTTGTTCAAAAAAGTTTTCATAGGGACACATGCTAAGTTGTTTTCACCGATAAAGTTGCAAGTTCTCATGCAGATATGCTTTTTATTCTGGCTACGGTATTGTGCTACGAATATCTGTGTAATTGAATTTCCATGATACAAATCTACGCTTTAAGCGCAATGTATTATGTCAGCAAGAGAAATCGCAGAAGAAACTTTTAAATGAGTTATTGTCAAAGTTATAAATGTCTATTGTCAGCGGCTGACTGATATCTACTGTTAATTAACAAGCGTTTTACAGGCGAAGCCTCCGGCGAGTAGTTGCAGCTGTTGTGTCACGCAGTGCGTGTTTGTTTTTCTTAACAATTGCGGGTTTTTGCAAATCTGCATGCTTCCCCCGCCGTAGAACAATACCTACGACGCGATGTTAATATCATTGAGAGTTAACCAGGAGTGGATTGTCGCGCACTGCACAATAAACAATACAAAACGAACCAAAGCAAAAACAAACTATAGAAACAGAGCCACAACAAGAAGAATAGGAAAATTGCTTTTGTTTAAAAAAATCTATTTGTTCGTGTGTCGAGATGAACGCGCCTACAGTGCGTCGGCGACGGACCAATGGCGCGCAGGCGGCCTCCCGCCTCCGCGCGGCCGGCCAATCGCAGACTGCCCCGCCGCCGCAAGAGCAGTTTCCTTTTTTAAAAGTTTCGCCCTCAACTTCCATCCGATTTCCCGCCTCGACTTCTTAAGTTATGGACGGTGAAAAAATACGTTGATTTATTTATTAAGACACCACTTTTTGCGAGGTTAAATTATGATGTTGCCTGAAGACGCAGGCTCCCGCGCCGTCGCTGAATATTCCGAACTTTTTACGGGCCCTACGAGATGACACGGCTAAGAAGTTGCCGTATTTTAATTTCATTGAATTTTTATTAAAGTAAACGTGCCCGCAATGAGCAAAGAACGTCAGATGAGCCTGAGAGATCTGCCACTTTCTACAAAGTATTCCCACGATGACAAATCGTCCTCTTTAGACAAGACATATACTTTTTGTATAGGTATGACGTAACTTTTGTAAGTAAAGTTATTACTGGTACAAAGGATTCACTCAACATTGTAAAGCCTAATTCTACAGAAAAATATTAGAAAATATTCAAAATCTTACTTAGACTTTGGTTACTTTATTGTGCAACATTAAAAATTGCTGCAAGAAAAGTGGATTTTTTGTACTTCGGAATAAGTGCAATTTAGTTCCAAAAATTATCCTAATTCTGTAAACAAACTTTTTTTAACTGTTAAAATTGTATACGGTTAAATACCTCCTAGTAGATTTAAGAAAACAAGTGTACACTTAAAGAAATTTAATTTTACACTGATACAGTTATAGACACTACACAAAAGGTCAATAAAAAACATTAGGTATTCGTCCAAGATTTATCTCCTACACGATCGCAAATATACTCAACATTTTGATGTTTACAAAAAGCCCAATAGGTGTACTTTATTGCTCAGATAAGTAATCACGGTACCCTATTAAAAATCAATCAATAATAGCTAACTCTATCGACGTATCGATCGGCAGATCTTTACTCGAAAACACATATCATTTGCCTAATTAGATTGGGCGTTAAATCGCCAAACAACCATTTATAATCTGTTCATTTAAAAAATAATACCGCATAAAAAAACTCGTCAAAGATATTGTCAGGAGATACGGGCACAGTCTGTTCGCAGGCTACGCTCGAAAAAACTTAAAAAAACTCTCTCGAGGCGATCCGTGACTCCTATTTTTTTTTTTTTTTTTTAATTCATATTATCGTACGGCTATCCCCTTTAATTTTGTTTTTAAGTATGGCCCTCGGTATGCTGGCAGCTACATTTATGGATATTCAGAATTCCGTGGCGTATCGTCCACGGGGCGATTTCGTTTTATGTAAATGTGGTGCGCGGGCGCAGGTGTTCCTCAATAATTGTGACAGATGTAACCGCTCAAACCACTTACAAAATTGCCGGCAGCCATTTAAGAAAATTCATTTCCAGGAATTCATTATTTGAATCGCGGACACAGTTACTAAAAATTTGGTATTACATCAAGCTTTACACTTTTATTCGAATATCGCCTCCAATGCAACGGACAAGCTCCATCATTATGTAGCCTGATGTGTTGTCGTCTATGCACTTTTGGATTTATATTTTATGTTTCTTTTGATCCCAAACGATCACTTAATCGAAATTTAAATATTGAAATAAGTAGTCTAGTATTTTCATTCGTTGATGTTCAATATGGGTAAACTTTTTTCAAAATTCAATTGTGTCTATATTCAAGTTTTTTTAAACTATTGATTCTTTAAATTTATGTTTTATGTTACATTACAGTGTTGCAACGCTAATTATGCATGCCTATTAACCTGCTAAGACCCAGCAAACTACACTGGGGAAAGCACTAAACGCCCAATATGCATTAAAATGTGCTAAATATAATTACATGCTTTAGGCTCAAGTATTTATGCCCTTTTGGATGAAAATAGTTATTTGTTATGTAAGCCTGCAAAGCTGTTGAAACCTGAGCAAGCGAAAGAGGCAAGATTGAACCACGAGCGAAACTAGTGAAGTGAAGCGAGAGAAGCGGTTTCAAGTCACGAGACGCAAACAAACTTTACTGCCTAGCGAAACACATAACTTTTCACCTCACTGTAGCGACGAAAATGAAAGTAGATGTAAGACAAATAGTTGAACTATAATAAATCAGTTTTTTTCATCACCGCTAGACTGAGATTCGCTCATGTTTTGTTTCTTTTCAATTTATTACAGTAGGTACAACCGAATCCTAAAAAAAATTGAAAAAAATAAGTTTACTATTTGAGTACGTTCTGAATTTACACCACATACCTTTTCTTCTTCTTTGTACTTGTAAGTTTATGTGATTAACGAAATTATTTTAGTTCTGCTACAAATTAAAATAATCTAATAAAACAAAATTAGTTATCGTTGTTAATTTAATCTCAACAATAATAAGAATAAAATATATTAGTTTTATATTACATAAATAACGTACGACAAATCGCAAAGATCAACGAGTCATTTTGTTTTTTTTGTCATTGAAAGAAAAAGTTAGGTGCACCACAGTCCATCGTCAAGTTCGAATTTGAAAAACGTTTTCCACACTAGCGTGGAAAAAACGCTTTTACGCGCAGATTTCTAATGAGAAAGAAATCCTTTCCGAGTTAATGAGGTGAAAACTCTGGATATCCTATGGTACATAACGCATAGAATATATAGCGCTTAATGTAATGCAATACTTACATGACATTGTACATTGGGCGTTTACGTGATCATAGGAATAATGTTGACCCGGGTCTGAATCAGTTCACATAGTCGATGTTTTATAGAAAGCGCATAAGCGACATTTCGAAACATTTTTCAGAGGAGCATGGTTTCGGTTTTCACGACTGTTTTATATTTGAATGCAGTTTTTAAACTTAAACCAATTAAAACCAAAATTGAATTAAAATTCATTGTTAAAAAGCAGAACGTAAATAATATTTTAAACATTTGTTATAATCTAAAAGATGCTCCTCTTTTCGAAATTTTTAATTTTTCGAAATGTCACTTATGCCCTTTTTACTGAATGCCGACGATACTATGTCGGGAAATTTTAATGTACACGAGGCCTTAGGAGATTATTAGAAATATATAATTTAAGGAGAACAATAATGCTTGGTTACTATTATCCCAAGTGTTGATGAAGTAACACGAAACAGTTTAATACTCTACAGCAAGCACGCACAAGTATTTAACGTTGATCCATCTAAAAACAGTTTCGTAAATGCAGCACTTGCAGGCTTATGTTAGTTTTGGCGTCGAGTTGCAACGATTCTCGTGTTGTGCCTTAAGGAGAAAGAGTGGAAAAGATTAAAATTAGATTATTTTATTGTTGTGTTTATGTATACACTAATATTCTATAGGTCAGGCATAATTTAATATAATTTCACCAAGTGAAAGTGGGTGAAATGTAATAAACCAGATTCATCCCCTAATTTACCACCCTTAGAAGTAAAATATTTGCTTTAAATTTAAATGAGACTGTTACTGAGGCACTCCCTTTCCAACAACAAAAGAATCATCGAAATCGGTTCACAAATGTCGGAGTCATCGCTTACGCGATTTATTTTATAAACACACAAAAAAATTTAGTCGGCTTTCGTTTTTTGAAGTCGATTAAAAAATAGAATAAATATAATTTGTAAACATTTTAGAACGATATATATTTATAACGATACGATAGATAATTGCATTGTAATATTCAGGCGTAGGTGTGTTTAATAATGTTACACATATATGTATGCATATATATATGTTCTTCCATTAGAGCGATGCCACAAGATACGTTGCGTCGGCGTTGCGACGCCTGAGCGGTGACTCTACATTTGTACTACAAATACATTAGAATTACGTGCTACATGTGCACATCGGACAAGGGGCCACGAGAACAGGGAGGGGTGCTACGGTGCGGTGCGGTTTCAAAGTGCGTTGAATATAGTGTTTTGTGGCGTTGAAATCATAGCGTTGCGACGACACGACGTACTAGCAGTGTCCGTGTGGCATTGCTCTAACGGGCTATGGCAGAATATCACCGAGGGCAATGTACTTTATCTTGCTTTCTGTAGCTGAGTCATAGATGTATTTTACATAAAGTTCGCGTCAAATAATATAATTTTAATTCTTAATTCTAATTTTAACTTAGTTAATTAAGACATTCGTCTTCCTTTATTTCAGACTTGTTTTTTCTTGCGCCCGTCACCTTAAGACATAAAGTTGAAAAGTACTATATGCTTGTAATTTCACCAGCACCTTTACCTTTCAAAACCGGAACGCAGTATTGCTTGGTGGTAAAAAAAGATATGGTAGCAATATTTGAGTCCATCATTCATTCGGTTTTAGGGTTCACCGAAACCAACGTTACAGCCTAATCTCGGCTGTGGCTTTAGCTGAGTGTTTCCTTTTGCGTACACCACAGCCTCACACATAATGGCAATAGAGACAAGTGTTTCAAATTGTATTGATTATTTGTGATTTTGGGTTTTGTTTCATTGTTTTTATTTTTGCTTTACTTTTGTTTGTAATTGTTCTTTCTTTATGTATATTTTTGTACTGGGCCGTTCTATTTTACTTCCCTGGACGAACTTTTCCGCAAGAATAGCTTCTGATACTAAAGCTAAGTTCTAATTTGTTGGCGAAAACTTAAACTGTATCGCTTAGCAAATCATAGCCTTTGTTTACATATTTGGTCATGATGAGTGGGCACTACTCATCGCGTATAAGCAACCATGTCTACACCTGGTCTCAATCAATCGAATTCCTTGTACTATGAGTCCCAAGGCAACGGAATTTACTTCGGGACACTTTATTTACCCAATTTAGAAAAGCTCAGTTTCTAAATTGGCCTTACCGGGAATCGAACCCGGTATCTCCTCATACAGCACCCACAGAACCAAACAAACAGCTGGGCCAGGTTGTCACTACACATTAAATGGCAAGCATACAAATATGTATAAAGATAGAAACATCGAAGGTACCAGGGTATGATGAATTAGCGGAAAACGATCTACGATGTTCTCGTCAAACACGTAGCGATCACGCGCACGATCGCGCCCCGCCTTTGGCCAGCGGCCTCTCATTGCTGCAGATATATGAAGTGAAAATTCAGAACTGCAGTCTATTAAAGCTTAACGAATTGGCAATCATTTCTAGCAAGTAAATAATATTTGAGAAAGACTAGAACGTCGTCATTTTAGACAACTGATAATAGTCTTCAATGACAACAAAAGGTTATATAGAGAGAGACCAAAAGTCAGTTTTATATAGACTCCATTTCATGTCTGTAACATTTTATTGAGGGATGACAAACAATTGTACAAGGTAACCGTACAGATAACTAATTGATTTTCATAGTTGATTATACAACCACATCATCTACCTACAAAAATATAAATAGTTTCATTGAATAGCTATTGATAAAAAATATACAATGCTGACAAAGAAAATACAATGGGAAAACATACAAACTTACTAACATTACAAAGTACATTTTAAAGGTAAATAAATAAAAATGTTGCACAATCTATTACAGTGCCATTTTGTAGGTCTTGGATATGATTCTTTATAATAAACTTTCATTTCTCAAACTTTCTTTTTTCTTAAATACTTTCGAATTAATGTCGTGTCCCTTATCTTTATTTATACTGTAAAAAAAAGAATAGTGAATATGTGTAAGGTACAATGAGAAACATGCATAAAATATACTATAACATTACACGCAAGCCCTCACAAACACAATCAAGTAAAGAGTAAATAAAATTCGTGATCGCAATAAGGCGGCCCTTGTAAAATATTGGTAATGCAATGTTAACGAGCTGGAGCTATGTAAAGACGCAATATTTTGCATTTAATAAGGGCCGTACATAGCAGCGAGTGCGCGTGGCCGGCGGGGAGATGGATCCGGAGATACGTCCTCCATCGGCCGTGGTATGAAATTATTGCGCCGAGAGCTGCGCGCGACCATGATACATGGACATCCTTAGATATTTTGTTATTAGGTATTATACTTCATAACCTGTTGCACAGCCTGTTAAGCTTTCTACGACCCAAGTTTTGTCAAATTGATTCCGATGAATAGAAACATCATCAATCTATTTATTCGTCCCACAGTTGGGCACGGGTCTCCTCTGAGGTGAAGGTTTGGGCCATAGTCCATCACGCTCGCCCAATGCGGGTTGAGGACTTCACACGTTTTCCGCGGGTTGTGAACCATCTTCGGCGCGCAGGTTTCATCACGAAGTTTTTCTTGATCGAAAAGCTCATGGTAAATTAAATACAAATTTAATTTCATTTTCGCACATAAATCCATAGAAACTCAGAGACGCGAACCCGAATTCGAACCCACGGCCTCTGCTTGAGAAGTGGTAGGTCAAACCATTAAGGCTACCACGGCTTTTTCGCCTCTTAAACATTTACGATGTACTAATTTTCATTCTCGATATATACATAACACTGATTTTATCGATATTTGCCTGATTACTTAACTTTTATTAGCAATATATATACATAATAAAGTACATAAAACAAACGACTGCAACAAATAAAGCCCAGTCGGATAACTGAAGTACAAATTATTAATTGTAATGTTAAGAAACAAGATTCCTTATCACTGAACTTAATCCCTATAGTTAACAAGTTATAACAATAACAAAATACACAAAACAAAAACAAACCAAGACTGAAACTATAAACTTCTCTTAAAGAAATCATCTATTTAAGTCTAGTTAGATTTTCTGAGGAGCTATTTCCAGGTATTACCTAGGTTCTAAAGATAAATCTGCAAGATAGGAAGAACTTAAAGCGGTTACAAGTCGAAGTAACTTCGGTTATCTAATGCAAAGATTAAAGAAAGAATTTAAATTGTTTGTCCATTGGAAAGCTGTGGATAAAAATTTAATTAGGTTTGTAATCATTATGGGAACTGTTAATAAATAAAAATCATTATTCAGTAAATCAAATTGAGTAATTTTAAACTTTTTATAATATCCAGTGACGGGACGAACAAGCTGTGCACGTGATGGTAAGGTACACGCCTGTCCATAACAGTTGCAGTGCCACTCAGAGCTTTAAATCGCAAAGATCTGATGGGCACTGCCTGTGCCCGTCACCTTGAGACATAAGTTGACAAGTCCCATGTGCCTGTAATTTCACCAGCACTCTTACCCTTCAAAACCGGAACACAGTAACGCTGACATTGCTGCTTGGCGGCAGAAATAGATAAGGTGGCAGTACTACCCTGAACGAGCTCTTGCACAAGGACCTCTACTGCTACTAAAACTTACGTATTTTTAATTCATATTTTTATATCGATTGCTATGTATATAGCGTATATTATACATTGGAAAATAAAACTATTTTATATATAGATGGATAGATAAACCAGTACAAATACAAGCAGACAAAAATATGTACTTAGATTTATTTCACAAGGTGTAACACAAAAGCACAAAGACCATAAATTAGTACATAGTACAGATATTAACACATATTTGTAGAGAAAAACAAAATTTTATACTGCTCATATTTGCAACAGTTTGTGCTGAAATGGCTTTGACTCAGCGTAAATGCTGTAGACCGTAAAAAACCAAATAGCTCTAGTTGTCTGCCACTACATATGGTATGTTTTTACATCAATATCAAGTTCGATTTGTTCTTTCATACAAACTAGAGTTTCGGACTCTTTATTGGTCCCTTAGTTAGTCTGCCGTGACCGCGAAACCTGTAAAGAGCCTTAAAACATCGGTATGTTATGTTAAAAAAAAATATATAATAGTTTCATTTCTAGCTTTACAACTCTTAAACTACTTCACAGAATTTCTAAACACCAAAGGAATCTTTATGAAATAATTAAGTTTTTCTGAAAAACGGGTCAACAATACTACGAGGTTTAAACGAATTGACACTCATAAAGAAGTATGAATTAAAGTTTCGAATAAAATGTGGAAGAATATCTCTCTGATTTTTTATTTCTATTTTATTTTTTTATTTAAGTTCAAAGAGTAAGGTTTTAAATCGAAACATGGCATCTATTCTAAAATTCATTACGCTCGATTTAGATCACAAAAAAATTGCTTCATTAACCATCATATATGTATTCAGAGTCAGCTTTAGTAGTAATTTTTCACCTATTTATACTAGCCCCTTGAGAAAGTTTGTCCCGGGAAGTACAGCTACTTTATCTGTTTCTGCCGCCAAGCAGGAATGTGAGTATTACTGCGTTTCAGTTTTGAAGGGTAAGGGTGCTGGTGAAATTACAAGAACGCGGGTGACGGGCGCAGTGGCAGTGCCCC